GGAAAGACAGGCCATAGATTGAAGGGGGGCAAGGCAGAGTAACCGTAGCAACGAAGTGAATATGCTCACAGGAGAAGCAGTGAGCATAGTGGTTAAGAGGGTGGCACAGGAGCCTCTCAGTGGCTGCACATGACCTTCCATGACTGAACCTCTCTGTGCCCCATCTTCTTCCTCTATAAAATGGAGAAAACAATTGTATCTACCCCACAGGGTTGGAAAACACTTAGAATAGTGCCTGGCACAAAGCAAGTACTCAATATGTGTAAGTTACTGTTACTGTTTGGATTGGTAAATAAATTAAAAAGGGTGCATGTCCCAAGGATTCTCTGGCAATCTTTAAAAAGCATATAGGGGGTGGTGGGACGTCTGGGTGGCGCTATTGGTTAAACATCTGACTCTTGAGCTCAGCTCGGGTCATGATCTCAGTGTGTGACTTCGAGCCCGCATCAGGGGCTGCACTGGCACACGTCTCTCCTTCTCTCTGCCCCTCCCCTGCTTGTACTACTCTCTCTCTCTCTCTCTCTCTCTCTCTCTCTCTCTCTCGTTCCCTGTCTCTCTGTCTCTCAAAATAAATTAATTAACTGAAAAATAATTTTAAAGCATGTAGGGGGGCACCTGGGTGGCTCAGTCAGTTAAGCGTTTGACTCTTAGTTTTGGCTCAGGTCATGATCTCACAGTTTCATGAATTCGAGCCCTGCAACAGACTCTGTGCTAGCAGCCTGCTTGGGACTCTCTCTTTCTCTCTGCCCCTCGCCCACTTACACTGTCTCTGTCTCTGCCAAATTAAATAAATAAGCTTATAAAAATTAAAAACTAAAAGGCATGTAGGATTTTTATTTGGTTTTATAGTGGCCATTTACCTGTTACAATGCTCCTTTCATTCAAATGTGTTCACTTTTACCTGTGAATGCAAGAACTTAGTAAATGGTTGCTGGGAAAGCGTGGTGTCACAAAGCTTATGGGTCTTAATCTCACCAGCTAGTTTATGTTAAGTTTTAACGTGAGAACAGGATACAGTGTGGAACATGCTTTGTCTTTATGACTTGTGTTATGTCACAGAACTATCTGCATACTGGCTGCTTTGTAATTTCTCTGGGGAAAGCCCACCTTCCAGTGCCCCATATGAGAAGGGAAAATCGTGATGGGCATAAACGAGAGAAGCAGTGACTGGTAGGCTGTGATGCCCATAATGGTCAACTCTAGACAAACTTTTACTATGCCCTCCCCTAAAGGTAGGAGGAATCTCAAATCCTGCTCAGAATTGTTCAACAGTGAAGAAGAAAAATCTCACCATCCCAGCGCTCAGAAGCCAATGTGGGTAAAATCTGATTATTGCTTAAAGTCATCCTGAGTAAAAACTAAAGAGGTTTTGCTGAGCCAGCGTTCTGCTTGGCTTTCCACTTAGGAGTTCTGAGCCTTTCCCTTGCTGCCTTGTACTAAGGGCATGTGCATTATTCCTGGTGAAGGGGGTCAGGGAAGACCATGACCTGTCTGAATGGCATGTGAGCTGAGATCCCAGGTGCCTGAGCCCCAAGCTCATGTACCATGCTCTCTCTCTCTCTCTCTCTCTTACTCCCCTGCACTGCATTTGCTTGTTGAATTGTCTCCTTCACCTAACTGAGGATTCCAAGGGGCAGAGACCTTATGACTCACATGACCTGCTACCCAGCCCACACCTAGACAGGGCCCGGCACATAGTAGGTGCTCCATGAATAATGAATGACAGCGTTGAATCCATGAATAATGGATTGAATAATCCATGAATAATGAATGACACACACTGGGAAGTTCTCAGGAAAGAAGTTTCCTTCCTGCTGCTCCATACCCCTGCCAGTGCTGAACAGAAGTTTGGGCAGGTGAGGAAGGCACCAAGAAGCAGAGGCCCAGAGTCGGGAAGCTGGGCCAACATTAGGAAGGTCTCTGAACCTGAGGATCAAAAACGGCAAGAGTTCCAGGGGCAGGAAGAAGAGAAATGTTAGCTAGTATGTGATTGTCTCAGGCAGCTCGGGCTGCTATAAACAAAATGCCATAGACTGGGGCGGGACGGGGCTTAAACAACAGTCACCTATTTCTCATAATTCTGGAGCTGAACATTCAAGATCAAGGTGCTGACAGATCCAGTGTCTGGTGAGAGCCCACTTCCTGGCTTGCAGATGGCCATCTTTTCATTGTACCCCACATGGTGGAGACAGAGCAAGGAGTGGCCCCTTTCCCCTAAAAGACATTCATCCCACCATGGAGGCTCCACCCTGATGACCTCATCTAAACCTGATTATCTCCCAAGGGCCTTCCTAATACCTCCTAATAGCATCCTCCTGGGGTTTAAGATTTTAGCATATGAATTTGGTGGGGACACAAACATACAGTCCACGGCAGAGATGAAAGCTCACACCATACTCAGCACCACAGTAGCCTCTTTGCACAGATTATTTCATGTAATCCTTGTGCCATCCTGTAACTTGGGAGTCATCACCCTGCATCTCACAGATGGGGAAACCGAGGCCTCGAGAAACAAGCCACACAGGTAGCAGATATAGAGTAAATATCCAAACTTAATTCTGCCATGTTTCTTTTTTTTTTTTTTTAATTTTTTTAACGTTTATTTATTATTGAGAGACAGACACAGAGCATGAGCAGGGGTGGGGTAGAGAGAGGGGGAGACACAGAATCCAAAGCAGGCTCCAGGCTCTGAGCTGTCAGCACAGAGCCCGATGTGGGGCTCGAACCCACAAACTGTGAGATCATGACCTGAGCCGAAGTGTGTTGCCTAACCAACTGAGCCACCCCGGCGCCCCAATTCTGGCATGTTTCCAATACAACTAAGCTGGGTCAGCGCTGATGCCATTCTCTCACGCCAGGCTTCATTCACCCAGTTCTTCCATGACAGGGACTGGAAAGAGCAGCTGCGTGGGAGCCCATAGCCTGGGCTCCCCTCCCAGCCCTGCCACAAACCAGCCGTGGGCCTTATGTATCTCACTACCTGGGTGCCAGTCTCCTCATCTATAAAATGAGACCATGCGTCAGGTGAGCTTGAAAGGGTACTACCCAGGCCTTCAAATCTTCAACTCAGCCTGGGAAACATGCAGCAGCAGCACCCCACAACTGCCCCCCACCCTCCCCACCCATAAGTGAGCCTGCAGCTAAAGAGAACTAGACCTTGGTTCCATTCGGATCCGTTTATTGACAAATCGAATGAAAAACAATCATATAAAAGGATATAAGACCATAAATGTGGTTAACACGTGGAGCAGGCGGAGGAGGGCAGTTGGGATGTGGGTACCGCATGGGGAGGGAGGAGGCTGGGCATACCACTAAAGGGAGAAGCAGAGAAGAGGGGGAGAAAGGGGGAAAGAGGAGGAAAGAAGGTGTCTGCTAACAATCCCACAGCTCACCTTTCAGTTTTTCAGCTGTCACCCAACCATTCTCTCCTGGACAGGATTAACAGCTGGAAATGATTTAAGGGCAACAACGAAGCAGTTTGTCTACAAGAACTGGGAGATGGGGGATGGGATAGGGTTCTGAGGGAGTCTCTCCCTTGTACCTGTCTCCAGAAACCTGTTTAGGGTGAACTGAGAGCTAGGAAGCTTAGTCTTGGTCCCAACTCAGCCACCAGCAAACCAGCTGTATGACTTTGGGCACGTCACTTCCCCTCCGGGCCTCTTACCTTGGCTGTGAAACAAGCAAACTGGACTCGATGGTGGGTTCTACTCTGGCTCTAGCAATGCCAAGCGCTTTGGCAACCTGAGCTGGGCCAGGAGTCTGGCTCAGCTTTGGAAAAATAAAACTACTTAGAGGAGAGTGACACAGTGCTAGCCTTCACCAGGAAACTACAGTCAGCAGAAGCAGCAGCCACTCAGAGGACGAGTGTAAGTGCACACACCTATGAGGAATTCACTGTCCCCACAAGATGATCTTTGCAGGAAGTGGCTGCGAGGGAGCTGGGTTTTGCTCTATGCAGAAGGCAGGTGCAGGGGAAGGGGACGATCCAACCAAAGCAGTCACACATTGTGCAGGGTCTGGGGATACGGGGTACAGTAGACATGGGAAGAGAGGGCTGTGGGCTCTGGGGCAGGGTTGGAAAGTAGAGCCGTGCCAGTACCTCACCGCGTGCCGCACTGCTCATTTCAGACGCCCTGCCCCCTTCAAACAGAGGCCTGGGCCCCTCGGTCTAGTTGAAGTAGCTCGTCAGGTAGAGATGCCACACTCGGCATCGAGATCCTTGATTCCTGTTCTGGTTGACGCCGTTGAAGCAGGGGACGGGTTGTCTTCGTTGGCTAGAGCCAGTTGAGGTAGGCTGTCTCTCCTTGCCCTTCCCCTGCTGACAATCGGGATGCTCTATGTGGCTGGCCGTACTTCTACCCCAGCTCTGAGCCTTGGGCCCAGAACTGCCAGTCCCTCCTCGACAACTGGACAGGCCTAGGCTGGCCTGAGGAAGGTGGCTGTGAGACTGGGAATGGGCTGCCTCTCCACAGCCCTCATGGACTTGGGTCAGCTGTGACAGCGAGAAGAGCAAAGGGTCCCCAGGTGGACAGTTCAGGGGAAGAGTCCATATTTGAGATTTCTGTTTGATAAGGGAATGTGGTTCCGATTTTGAGGCCCAGAGCCAACACCGTTTGACCGTTAGGACAGGCAGGAGTAACATTCTGGGGGGACGTGTGTATGTACCTGCACACGTGTGACAGGACGATAGGGATACCCGGGGAAAGACAATGAGCCTGGCCTACCTTAAAAAGGGGACTTTCTGCCCCCCCAGGGTAAAACTGCCAGAGGCCCATATCTCACAGCCTTTGACAGACTCTCCCGATATCCCAAACTGGGGATGCTTCCATAGGGACGCTGATCCCCAGTTCAAGGCAATTCAGCAAAGCTTTGTGAATTGACTTCTCCGCAAAAGGCACAACCGAGGCCCCCAGGGGGCTATGAGACCACTTCTCGAGGCTGGGGGAGGCCTAGCAGCAAAAGCCCAGGACCCTGGAGTGGGGGCTTTCCCGGCACCCCGGTCATTGCTCTAAGACCTTGAAGGACAGGGGTGTGCCGCTCTTGGCAAAGGCCTTCATCAGGCTGCTGGGATAGATGCACCCAAGCTTCTCTGGAGTCGGGAAGCCCCAGACCCTATAGAGAGACAGGCTCAGCCGGTCCCCGATATAGAAGGGGCCCACCCATTTGGCACTGCTGCCGTTCCTGGGGAGCGACAGCAAGAGGACCTGGTCGCCCACATTCCACTCCTTCTCCTGACTCTCCCGCTTGAAACGCCTATTCTCCGCCTTTTCGCTAGCCTTGTCGGTCACCCGCCAGTGTAGCTCCAACAGCTCCCCAATGAGCTGCAACAAGAAGACATCCATCTTGAGCCCTTCGATATTGGCACTGCTCATCTCCCACCACAGCGGCTCGCTCAGCCTCACTTCATCCCCCGTCAGGATCTGGACCGGCGTGGCCTGGGTGGAGGAGGCCCTGAAGGCCAGGTGCAGCAGGGGCAGGGAAGCCGCCCACTTCTTGCCGTGCAGGAAGATGAACTCCTTGAGGGCCCTCTTGAATTCCCAGTAGGCATCTGAGCTGGTCAGGCAGGGGAACTGGAGGTCCCTGCTCAGGGAGGCTGCCTGGGCTCCCAGGGCCAGCCCACAGCTCACCAGGACATGCCGAGCAAACTGGGGGCCCTGGGCAGCCTCCAGCCTCACGGGAACGCCCCACCTGGCAAACACATGCTGGAGCAGCACCTGAGCCACTGCCGTGTGCGTGTAGGGCTTCAGGGGGAACGCCTCCACCCATCTGGTGTTGGGGTCGGCCACAATCAGCACGTGCTTGTGGCCCTCCTCACTTATGGTGACTGGGCCCACCACCTCAATCTGCAGGTTGGACCAGGGGGCGGTAGACCTGAGGGGCCACACGGACTCGATAACCTTCAGCTCACTGCCTATGAGATTTCGGGGGATGCAGAACAGGCAGCTTCGGCAGTAATCCCTCACATGCTCCTGCATCCCGGGCCACCACCCCAGCAAACGCAACTTCTTGTAGGTTTCCTCGGGCCTCTGGTGGGCGCCCAGGGGAAGGTCATGCACGGAGAAAATCAGGTCCCTCCGGAGTTGCCTCGGGACTACCCAGACCTTGGGCCTCTTATCCCCCTTGAACATAAGCAGGCCGCTCTCTTTGTCGAGGCTGAGTGAGTTAAAGACAGAACTGAAGGGTGAGGAGCCAGACAATTTCTGCCCAGCCTGCAGCTTGGCGATGATATCGGCCAGAGTGCTGTCGCTCAGCTGTAATGCCAGCAAGTCGGGCCTCTTGCCCATGGTGTGAGGAGATACTACAGGGATCGGCACGTCCTTTGGCAAGTTCCACCACTCCCCGCCCCCCTGTGCTCCCTGCTTGGCCAGGGTGTCCACTGTGACAGCAAACAGGGAGCCCCGGTAGGAGGTTCGGTAGATGAATGGAAGGGACGAGAGGTCAGAGGTGAGCGAGATGATGTAGGACAGCAGGCTCGGGTGAGGTAGCGGGGCCCCGTCCGAGGAGAGGAAGCCTCGAGCCCTCCACAGTGGCAGGAGCTCCCAGAGGAGGCTGAAGATCCAGTTGCAATGCGTGAGGAAAACCACAGGGAGGTGGGACTGGCCGAAGCGCTCCAGGCCACAGGCCACGGCCGCCAGGTGGGCATAGGTTGGTGTGTACGGGGAGCAAGAGAAGGAAAGGGAGACAGGGGCGCTGGTGGGAGACAGGACATAGAGACCAAAGCCAGCACACCACTCGTCCTCACGGTAAAAGCAATAGCCCGACATGTGGATGCAGACAAAAGTGGACAGGTCGGAAAAAGGAGGCAGAACCTGGAAAAAGCGAGGCATCGAGGACGCGGGCGTCAGCAGTCGGTTTTCTCCCAGCAGGCCCTGGAGAAGGGTCAATTCCAGGGCCCTTTTGCCTTTGTCCTGTACCAAGAGGGACCATCGGATCAACCATGCTTTGGAAAGTCTGCGGCCTTCTGGCGCCTCGGGGTCCACAGTGGCCCGGGAGGCATAGGAAAGGTCCAGGACCACTGGGGTGTCTCCAATGCAGCGGGAAAAATGTTTGAGGGCCCAGGCCACCGCATAGGGGCTGTCTCCCCCTGACTGGGGGCCCTCGCTCTCCTCATCGGGAAGGAGGGGCTTCGAGGTATAGGCTACGGGGTGCTTCCTCCCCGAGTGCTCCTGATAGACAACGGCCGTGAGGGCCACTTGGCTCACTGTCACCTCCAGGCGGAAGGGCAGCTGGGTGTTGGGGGCCGTCAGGCAGAGGGCAGACACCAGGGCTCGCTTCAGAGCCAAGAAGGCCTTCTCATGCTCCCAGTCCCACTGCCAGTCCGGCTTCTGCTTGAGGAGGCTGTGCAGGGGGCCCACGAGGGCTTCATAGTCAGGGATGACATCCTGGTGGGAGTCCATGAACCCCACGAAGAAGGAGAGTGCAGTGAAGTTGCTGGGGATGGTCAGCTGGGCCAGGTGGGCAAGAACCTGTTGGCAGGGAGCCTTCTCGTCCCAGGGGATGCCCAGGTAGGGAGACGCCGGCGCCGGCAGGAGATCGATGTCTAGGGCACCGTCAGGGGGGTCCTGGAGGCTGAGGCACCGGAGGATTTCCTCTGAAAGGGAAGGGCACTCGGCCCTGAACACTGATGCCAGTGAGGAGTCCAGGGCATCTTCTTCAGGCGGCTCCTGCACCCCTTTCCCCTCCCTCTGCTCATCGTCCTGCCTCTCCTCCTTCTCCTCCCGGACTTCTTCCATATTCCGCAGACCCTCCGGAGGTGCAGGGTCAGCACCATCACTTGGCTCAGAGGCGCTGGCCGAGCTGGGAGGAAGCGTCTTCCACACCTTCAGGAAGTTGCCGATGTCGGTGTCTAGCCTACCCCAGAAAAGCAGAGCGGAGGGGCTCAGGGGCCTGCTGGAGGAGGGAGGGGCACCCAAGGGGGAAACCACATCTTCAGAGCCTCACCCCACTGCTAAGTCCCCCTGAGGCTGGGCCAAGCGCCAGAGCCTCCACCAGGACCCTGCCCGCAGGTACCTCCTCTATCTCCAGCACGTGCCAGGCCTCCATATTGGAGATTCATCCATATGTGAAGCCTCACCCAATCAAACCCTTGTTGACCAAGCAACATTTTCAACCACTTCTAAGCCAATGACTTGGTACGAGTTAGATGACTGGCACTTCCAACCTGTCCCTAGGACAAGCAAGCCAGGGGGAGGTCAAGAAGGAAGGCGGCCTGACAAGGCACTTGAGAGAGGGCACAGCAGACAAACCTCCACAGCACTTTTTCTCAAACCAGGGAAATGAAACTGAGGGACCCGGTCCAGAAAGCAATGCCCTGTCCATAAGGTCCTTGCCACCATCCTCTGCTGGGAACTAGGAAGAGGGGGGCAGTAAGGCAGCTCAGAGCGGGAGGAGGCCAGAGCGTCTGAGTTGCTGCAAACCTGGTCCAGGACAGAAGTCATGTATGTCTAACCCAGGTTGTGAGAATCCAAGGAAACAATAAATATGGAAAAAATTCAGCAGTACGTCCCCTAGCCCAGCTCCCTTTATTCCCACAGCAGCAAGAATGAGGCTGTCCCCTGGAGCACTGCTGCCAACAGCATAATATGGAAAATGTCAAACGGCCCTTGACAAGAGATTCGATAAATCCCCTGGGTACTTCTAGAATGGAATACCGCGCAGCCATTAAAGTGAGCCACATGAATTAACATGGCATGTATCTGGGCGGGGCGGGGGGAGCCATAAAATACTGAGTACAAATGCCAACTGTGGAAAGATGCACATGTGCAAAACTGTAAAGCTGCAAAACCATACTGTAAGTGGCTTATGGATGCATCGATATGTGGTAGAGGTCAGGGCGCCTAGGTGGCGCAGTCAGCTGAGTGTCTGACTCTTGGTTTTGGCTCAGGTCACGAGCTCACAGTTCATGGGCTCCAGCCCCGCGTCAGGCTCTGCGCAGAGCCTGCTTAAGATTCTCTCTCCCTCTTGCTCTGCCTCCCCCACTCACGTGCATTCTCTCTCTCTCAAAAATCAATAAATATTTTTTAAAAATATGTTGTAAAAGCATAAACCTGAAAAATCGAATCACTCTGCTCATGGTTAAGCACTAGACAAATGTTGGTTAGCGCCGAGGGGAAGTTTCTGGTCAGTCCCAAGAGGAACTGGGAGGCGGCAGAGGCTTGGCCCATTACCTGTTTGGCTTCTTCAGAAATTCGTCCAGGGTGGGGCCATCACGGCCCAGGGGGTCATCCGGCACCATGAAGAGATTCCCCGCAAAGGTGAAGGGCAGTAGGCTGGACCCGGGAGAGAGGAGATATGGTCATAGAGGAGCCCTTGATTCATACGGCCCATTAACCCCTGGATGTCTGAACAGGAATTGAGACCAACGTCTGGTGAGCACAGCTCTAAGGGCCCTCTCCCAAGCCCAGCACCCCATACCAGGGGCTGGCTGACATCCATCCACGGGGAAGGAACAGCTCAAGTCCCTGGGATCACCTCACCGATCTTTGACCATCAGTTTCTTGGAATTATTCATCAGGATGTGGAGCTGCTCATTGGTGACAATGATGCCGTCTGTCTCCTCTGCCAGCTTTACCATGAACCTGCAGGGAGAGGGGTTGCTGCTAGCCACCCAGAAACCCTTACTTCCCAAGTCTTTGGGGAAAATGAACTTGCAGTTTCACGTGGAGATGTGCTGAACAAAAATGCTGCCCTTGGTGGTCGGGGAGCCAGGGCTCAGGAGCCCATCTCCTCGTCTGTCTGTGCAGCCATCCGGGATCACCACTAGCCCCCGGGAGGGTGAACTTGAATGCACACCCCCATCTACAGATACAAACACACGCCCCTATCTAGCACACAGGCATTCACATACACATGCACAGACACACACGCTGAAACCTGCACACTCGCCCACATTCACACATGCATTTTTACTAGCTCAGTTTCCACATCTGTAAAATGGACATAAAATACCTACCCTATATTGCTGTGAGGATTAAACGGAATGAGACAAACAGTACAGTGAAGTGCCTACCTCGGTGCCTGCCACACAGCATGCACACACATGTTCCATTACTATTCTTCACCAATGCACCACATTCCCATACATGCCAAGACATACATACATACATCCATATGTACATATACACACTACATACATACACCGATATGTATGTAATGTATGTATGTATATACATATAAAACATATATAAAAATCACATACCTGAATAAACAAATCCACTTTTCCAAGGATCACCTCTCCTTGAAAGAGGGCTGTGACCAGGAAAGAAAGCAAAGGCCACCTACTTCTCGGCATTCCCGGAAAGGTTGCCATTCCGGCGGCCCCAAGCATGCTATTCCACAAGTGCCCAGCAGGGGACCTTTGCAGAACAACCATCTTCCCTCAAACCCAGACCCGAAATTTTAGAGGCACTTAAAGACCAGGGGGCCTAGCTCTTGAAGGAGGGATGCCTGAGCTGCCATGCCTGGCCCCTCCAGCTGAATGGATGCCAGGTCTTGAGAAAAGTGGGGAAGAACAGAACTTCTCATTGGCCAGCATAGGAAGTGCCTAAGTGCAGCCGAGACCGGGCACAGACTCCAGCCTGGGACCAGTGACTATGGCAGGGCCTTCCCTGCCCCAACAGAGGCAGCATCACAGGCTCCCCCTGTGCATATTGGTCCTGCAGCCATGTTGGGGACTAGGTGCTTAGGATTGACACGTAGGGAAGTAGGGAGGCACTGGGGCTTTAGCAAGGAGACAAGGCCAGTCTAACTCCATTTTCAGAGCCCTGCCAGGGGTCCAACCACATACAGCCATACACATACCTCCTCCCAGTGCCAGGGCTGGGGGGAGGAAAAAAACTGAAGCAGTTCCTGGAGACTTGAACTTTAGCCCAAACCGAGGCCCCAAATCAGTCACTTGGGCAAGCAGCTCACTGGAAACACCAGGAGTCACCTGGGCGGGTCCTATCCAAAGTAGTGGGTTCCAGCCCATAGGTCAGAAAGCCTGTAGACTGAGGGAATGGAGCTGGAGAGTCCCAAAGTCAGGAATCCCCCTTAGCCTTGGGTAGAGCCGATCCTGGAGCCCTCTCCTCACTGTGTGCCTCCCTCTGCCTACAGAGGGCCTGTGCACCACGCCATCCTCTCTGACATGACCCTCTGACATGGTGGCCTCCATCTCCCCAGAGCAGGTGAGGCTGGACTCCACCCGACACACCAGCCCAGCCCCTGGAACCCTCCAGAAAGGCCTGGGACTGGCACACCTATAATCGTAGGTGGTGATCTTCTTGCCGTTCTCGAGCTGGGAGGGGGTGATTGAAAGCATCTTGAGGGAGTGCAGCTTCGTCAGGAAGTGGCTCTCTGGAGGTGAAAGACAGAAGACAGAGATGCTCAGAGGAAGGGCGAAGTGGAAGAGGCCACGGCAGGGACAGAGAGGCAGGGAAAGGCAAAGCTTGGTGATGCTGCAGGGGCTGGCGGAGGGGGTGGGCAGTGCACAGCTCACCTCTCACCCTCCGGTTCTTCTTCAGCTGCCAGGTGGGTACAAACACAGTGACCTCTCGGTGTCCCCGGTTCCAGAAATACTGCACTGCCATGGCAATGCCACGGCAGGAGAAGAAGTGCTGGAGGCCGTGCCTGTGGGGGGTGGTGGGAAATGAGGGAGCAGCCTCCTCCTGACGAGTGGCCCTGCCTTTCTGCTCCTCCCTCAGACAATGCCACACGCCTGCGTCAGCAACCGGCAATGCCCTTCTCCCTCTCCTCCATCATCGAACATTCTGTAAGCACCTACTGGGCTCACTCACCTACTCTGCGTGTGCATGTGTGTGCACACATGTCGGGGGGCTATGTGCACGTGATCAGCTGTGTGCACATGTGTGGGGTGAATGCGTGTGTGCGTGTGTGTGTGTGCGGGAAACTCCAGGGCAACAGGAAAAAGGCGGCAACCTCTGCACCCAAAGAACTTAAGTCAGGGCTAGAAGCAAACAAACATTCATTCCACCTACTGTGGGCCAGGAGTGTGCTCAGCACAGATAACTACTGTCCCGTGGGGACAAATTCAGTGGTCTTGCGCACATTTATGCTAGCATGTGTAGAGCAGTAAGCGCAATGCAGGAGGACAGTCTCTAAGGATTGACTGGCACACTCGGGAAAAGCTCCATAAAGGACACCTGGGCTGGGCCTTAAGGTTCAGGCTAAACATTGGTAGCTGGCCTGGGGTTGACAGACGCTGTGCTATGTGAGACAGGCGGGCTGTGGTGGGAAGAGCACGGGCCTTGGCAGTGGGCAGATCTGAACTCAAAGGCCAGCCAGGTCCCTTACAAGGCTCTGGAATCTTGGGCCAGATGCCTTACCTCTGTGAGCCTGTTTCTGTTTCTATCAAAGAGAGAGAAAGAAACGTCCCTTGGCAGGGCTGTCTGCATGATTCCGTGCACATTCCTACCATGCCCCAGTCACCCACCATTGCCACTTCCATCCTATCGTTTCCCCATTTGAACCCATGTCACCCACATACCGAGGGGATGCCCACGCTCTGTCCCCCCCCCCCCGGGGTTGCCCTGCCCCAGCTCCCCAGACTTCCCAGCCCATGCCATGCCTGTAGCTACTCACACCATGGCCACACTGCTGCCATCAATGACCACTCGCCGTAACCCCTGGTTCCCGGGTTCCCCCGACAGGTTCAGCTCGAAGGGTGTATTCAGGGCCTCGTGGTACCTCTGGAAGCTGGTCACTGTGCTGTTTGCCTGTGGGTGACGAGGCGGCTGCCTCGGGGACCCCTCCCAAGCCCCCAGGAGCCCCTCCATCTGAGGTTGGTGCTGACTACCGGAAGTCAAGGTGCTGCTGGACTGAGGACCCTGCCTTCTGGACTCCCCATGGCCCTTTGGCAAGGAGGCATTGCCCCTTGACGAAGGCTGCACCTCGCTCAGGAGTTTGGCGGCATCCAGGCTTGGCCCTGGATCTGTGGGCGTCTTCTGAGCTGCAGGTGTTTTGGGGCCTCTGGAGGCTTTGGAAGCTGCAGGTGCTTTGGGGGCCACAGGTCCCTTGGGGACCATAGACCCTGTTTTAGCTGCAGGCCCAGTTTGAGCTTTGGGTGTTTTTGCTGCAGGTGACGTTTTTGCTGCAGGCGTTTTCTGAGCTGTGGCAGTTTTGGGAGTCGCAGGTACGATTTGAGCTGCTGATGCCAGTTGACCCACGGCTGCCTTCTGAGCTGCAGGCCCCCCTTGAGCTGCTGGCTTTGTCGGAACCGAAGGCACTTTGAGAGCTGCAGGTTCTGTGGGGACTGCCAGCATCATCTCCGCTGTAGGCACTTTGGGGACTGCAGGCAGCCCCTGATCTGTGGGTGGGGTTTGAGCTGTGGGCACTGCCGCAGCCACGGGCACTTCGAGAGTTTCAGGCACTGTTTGAGCATCGGGTGCTGACTGACCTGTCAGCCCCTCTTGAGCCACGGACCCCCCCTGAGCTGTAGGCACGCCTTGCCCTGTTGGCAGCACAGAAGGGCCCTCTTCTGGCCCCTTACAATCCCACTGCACACTTCCTTGATCCCCTGGCTCGCTTCCAGCTTGCAGTTGGGGCGCAGAGGTCAAGGGGGGCCCTATCTGTGGAAGTCCTGGGCTAGTCTTGTCCTTTACACCCGAGCCCCCTGAGACCACCAATAAACTCATGACTTTTTGGGGGGTCTCTGGCCTCGGGCAATTCTGTAGGGTTGCATCTCCTCCTGGTCCCCCATCTGGTCTGCAGTCTGGGCTTTCCATGCTGGGCAAAGGAACCAGCTCCTTCTGCTTCCACTCTAGATTTAAAGGCAAAGGATTCTGCCCTGGTAGCTTGAACTGAATGGGGCCCAGGGGCCTCTGCCAGAAAGGAAAACTGAAGCACGCCTGGGACAGGAGCCAGGCCAGGTGGAGAGAGTGCAGTTCATTGATCCTCCAGAAGGTTGCGGCGATAGCCCCTGGCCACAAGGGCCCAAACGCTGGCCCCGGGGTCCAGGCCTTCCAGGGCGGGCACATGCTCAGGGCTGACACGGGAGGCTGGAAGGGGCGTTTATCTTCCACTCTCTGGACCTGCCTTTGCTGTGACGGGGCTTGTGTGTGGTTTGCAGAGTCCTGGCTGCTGGTGGCTTGCGCGGGCCCTTCCTCTCGAGCACTGTCGGTACTACCTTGGCTGTTGGAATCGACCCTGGAGGAAATACAAGTTTGTTGGAAAGGTGGTTAGGCCAGGTAAATCCCAAACCATTTCCGTGGGGCGGGGGGAACAGGGACAGGGTCTAGAGAAACCAAACTGATTCTTCAGAACTTACCTTACCAGCTGGCTGGTTGTTTCCTGCTGTGTGTTCTGGCCTGGGGTGCCCGAGACCAGGGCCCTGGTGGCTCCCAGGTTGGTTAATCTCTTTGAATGTTCTGGGCTCCTGTTCTGGAGAGTCCCCACCTCCAGGAAGGGCCCAGGACCGTCTCCCACAGACACCATGGCCGGGCCTTCCTTCTGCTGGTGGGGAGGGCAGATCAGCACCTCGGGATCAGGGCAGGACTCAGAGGTGCCGATGCGGCCGAGCCACTCGATGATGTCTTCCTTGCCTGCAGCGT